GGTGAACAATAACAGGGCTCTGTCACCGTGACGGGGGTCTGGCTTCTTCCCACACGTGTTCCCCTGCTGTCCACACGGGTGCATTATTAGTCTAGTCAATCTGCCTTTCTGCTTTTGCTTTTCTTAGTATGTGTATTTTTGTTGTCAGCAGACCCACATATGTTGGCATTTCAAAATACTGCTCCCGTCACCGCCCCCTCCTGTTCTCGTGGCATCATGTGTGTGCCCCGGGGTACGAAAGCCTGAGTGTGGATGACGGCACAGGGGCCTGGCTGCTGGCCGTGTGACGGCACAAAGCAAGGGTCGTGGGAGTTCATGGCCTTGTTTTCTGGGATTCTTTTACATTTGGATCAAATTCTGGAATCTGATGTTTATCCGTTAAATTGACAGAGAACCTCAGAGAATGTTTTCTTTGTCAAGTGTACAGTGGGCGGTTTTCTTGATGGTATAACCTGTTTGGTGACTTGTCCTACAGCGTCTGTAGGACTGTCTTACCGCTTAGGTTGCCCCGCTTTTTCTGTAAATGACCAGTGGTTCTGAGTTGTGCCTAAGAAACACTGGGGAATTGGTTTACGGATCCTGGGCCCACCTGGAGGGGTTTCGATTCTGCGGACCGAGAGGTGACGGTGGGTGGACCCGAGTGACTGCCGATGACATGGGCCGCTCTTCCCATTCTAGACTACCCCGCCCTGTGATGGCACCACATGTGTCCTGTTGCCCTGTCCACTGCGTGTGCCCCGTGTTCTCCCGTGCCTTTTGCTGCTGTGGCACCCACCTGCTCACCTCTTGTGCTCAGCCTCAGGTGTCCTGGGTAGATTTCTTGTGGAGCAGGGAGCCCGATGTGGGGCTCAATCCCAGGACCCCGGGATCATGACCCGAGCCGAAGGCAGACGCTTCGCTGACTGAGCCACCTGGTTGCTTCCTTGAGATGCGTTCCTGGAAGAGCAGTTGCCCTTTGGCAGGTGCGGACTCCCCTCTTGGTTACTTGTCTTAGCTTGTCTGGTGGCCAGGGCCTCCTTGGGGCAGTGGGGGCAGGACAGCCAGGCCACGGGAGCTACCACACCAGACCAGGAAGCTGTCCTGGCTTTCCTCCCTGAGGAGCTGATCGGCGGGGACCTCAGGACGTGCGAGTCACGCACGCTGCTGTCTCTGCTGCCCCCAGACGCCTCCCTGATGCACCTCAGCTGCGCCCTGGGGGACCTGGTTAACGTTTGAGTCCTTCAGCGTCTGATTACTGCCCACGTGCCATCCGTAGGGCGTGTTTTCACGTAAACCGCTGCTTCCTGACAGGTCACCGTGCATAGCTAGGACCCTTCCTCCTGGCTCTCCCCTCTTCTGGCTTTATTTGTTTATTTTTTTAAAGATGTATTTGAGAGAGAGAGAGCGCGCATGAGCACACCTGTGTGGGTGGGAGCAGGGGCCGGGGGGAGAGACTCTCAAGCAGACTCTGCAACTGAGAGCATGACCTGAGCCGAAATCAAGAGTTGGGCACTTAACCGACTTGACCCACCCAGGTGCCCCTTCTCCTGGCTTTGGAGTGTCCACACACTGCACCACCCACCTCTCTCTCCTTTTTCTTACACAGAACATTCCAGAACCATTGCCCTAAATGTGCTCTTTCTAACTAAATTCTCAAACACGTCAGTCCCCAACAGAATGTGTTTTCTTTTTGATCAGCCCCGCGGAACTGAGGGTGTGCAGAATCCCAGGTGGTTTAACGTACTGATTACTTACTTCGAGCTGGACTTGTAGCCCTCGTTATACGGAGACGCACACACCGCGGTCTCTGTCACCTGCCCTTGTTGCCCCTGTCGAGCTACGGGGGTCGGCTCGTGCACCTTACACACCGGCTGCAAAGGCTCCCGTCCCCTCCTGTGCCCGCGTGCGCTTGGGGAGTGCGCCAGGGGGTCGGGCGGCCGCGCTGCGGCCGGCCCGGGTCCCCGGGGTTTGGAAATAAAGCCGGAGGAGCCCCGTCGAGCTGGCGAGGCCGCTTGTCTGGACGGTGACCGAACCCGCGCCGTCTCTTTCCTTGAAAGATGTCCCACCTTTTCTCCGTCTCTGAGGGGACAATGAGCTGGGGGGTGGGAGAGCCCCGAGTGTGGCCCGCTGGTTTTCTGTGCTTCGAGCTGTTCGGGGGAAGCGGAGCCCTAGTGCTGGCGGGAGTGGCCGGTCAGGGCCGCAGGTGTTGGGCCCCGCAGGCCACCGAGGGCAGGGCTGTGCCGTGGTGCTGCGCCCGCGGCAGCTGCAGGCCGGCTGAGGCGGGGCGGGCGTGGGCACCGTGCCACGCAGTCTCCTCTTCTGGAACTGGGCACGTGGGGGAGGCAGGCCCTGCAGCCCACGTCCCTGCTCTGCGCGGAGGGGGTGGCTCATCTGAATGGTGGCACCTGGGATTCGGGAGCTGGGACCGTGGCCAAGGACCAGCCCGCTGGAGGGCCTGCCGAGGCGTGTCGGCCAGATCCGTGGGGCTGGGCGCTGTGGTTTGTGCGGGGGGACGCCCCGCCCTCTCGGCCGCTCTGGGAGGGGCAGCACGAACTCTGGGACCTGGGCTGCCGACGTCCCGCCCCTCAGGCGAGTGGACCGTGTTTGCGTGGCCGGGGCTCTCTCTGGGGGAGGGGTGGGAAGTTGGTTTGCCGCTCGGCTCATCCGAATGTGGAGCCAGGCCCCGCGATGGCCGCCCGGAAGTCGCAGCGCGCTTGTGTTCCTGACGGCTTCTGTCTGAGCGTTCACGCTGAAGGAGCGGACGGCCAGGTCCGAGTCCTGGGCACGGCCCTGAGCGTGCGCGTGCGTGTGCGGGCGCGGCCTCACGTGCACTGGCCTGGGTGGGGGCCCCAGGGGGTGCGGGGGCCCCGCCGTCCGTGGGATGGAGTATCTCACAGTGCGTATTAAGTTTGCTTTGCTCCTGATTTGAAACGTTCCAATTTTCCCTCATTATGAAATTGTTCCCATTTCAAATTATCTTCACTTCAGAGGAGATTGGAGAGTCTGGGTGAAAGTGAGTCTGCCTGTGCACTGCGTCTGGCTGCTAGCTTTTGGGGGCTAATTTGGACCTCAGGGCACGAAGCTTGTTTCCGAATTGGCGTTGCGTGCTCCTGACTCTGCCGATTGGCCTCCGGATTTCTGGAGGCTTCTACTTGGAGGGAACTGCAGGTCACCTGCCCTCGGTGACAGCTGCCGCCTCGGTCCCTGAGAACCCCGAGAGACTTAGTGGCCACCTGCTGATGGGTCCTCTCCATGGGCCCTTCCCTCCGCTCGGGCCCGAGCAGATGCAGCTGGGCGGCACCCACCTGCCTCCCCAACGAAGCGAGGTCCGGGGCGGGGCAGATGTGGATGTGCGGGCTGTCTGGTGATTTGTTTTCATTAGACTGGTCCCACGGACTTAGTAACCGTTTAAGTACCCCTTTGAGTAACACAGAGGAACAACAACTTGAGTATCTCTAGAATGTTTCAGAAAAAAATACTTCTTGGCTTGAAAAGATTTCTTTGTTTTTATGCCCATATGTTTAACTCCCCGAGGTTGGGAAGCTTGAGGAAGCTCCAGGAAGAATGGGACCTGGCATTCAAAGCTGGCTCAAGCCCTTCTGTTGCTGGATTTCAGTCTTGCACAGGGTCCTTAGAGATGCTCATCTGGTCTGGGGAGGAGCGCGGGGAGAAACCTCTCCTGTGCCCAGTGGTTCCTGTAGGCCCAGTGAGGAGCTGTTGCTCAGGTGGCCGGGAGGGGTGTTTGTGAGGGCATCTGCGAGGGGGAGCACCTGCGGGGAGCACCCCTACGGGAAGGGTGTGGACTGTAGAGGCCCAGGTGTGTGAGATTTGGGGCGTGCGGAGTTTCAGATGGACTGCTGACGAGTCACAGGTGCTGGGAGCTCCTGTTCAAGTGACGACGGACACGGAGAGACCCCGTGGCGAATGCAGAGTTGGGCAGGCAGGATGGGGAGTGGCCTGGGGGCATGATGGGAGGTTCCCTCTTCCAGGGAGTGCGGATTGTCCTGAGACCTCTTGAGGAAGAGCACTGCGAGCACAGGGTGAACTCGCGCAGAGCTCGGGGGCACTGCGGTGACCTGTCTGTGTCCGGAGGCAAGGCTGCAGGAGGCGGAGCCCCTGGGGCCTGGTCCTGTGGCGGGTGCTCCTGGAAGCCGGGCACTGTGGTGCCGTTGGAGGCCGGGGAGAGGGCCTTCGGACCCTGTGGTGACCGTAGCCACTCCTGTGGCTTTGCGACAGACTCTCATTCCACTGAGGACGTGTCTTGAGGGTGTAGCTTTGTCACGGCCCCCATGGCTCCTTCAGTGGTGGAGGAGGCTGTGGCGCCTCCCACACGCGGCCCCGTGTGGCCCTGTGCTTGGTCCCTAGGCCTCGAGCTCGGCTGCCGCCTGCAGGCCTGGGAGCCCCTTAGCTTGCATGCCATGTGCTGTGTGGGGCCCGTGCCGCTGCCCCGGGGGTCGTAGTCTGTCGCGGGTGTTGTTGGCGCATGTTCTGCTGCATCCCAGTGTCGGGTTCCCAGGGGTCAGACGAGGTCAGCGCTGCTCAGGGGTGCATCGTGATCTGCTGTGGACACCTGGAGCCTCTGTTTCCTCCTCTGTGAGGTGATGACAGTGGCAGCAGGGACGCGAGCCGAGGTGGGCAGTGTGGAGGGGTGTGAACACAACAGAGCAGCGTCCGTGGGGGCGTCTGCTGTGGCTTCTTTTCCCATTGCCGGCTCCAGGGAGATGGGTACCCTCTACCTCACTTCCCCTTCCCTGCGGGCCGACACCGGCGGCTAGCTGTTGACCTGTTCTTACAGCTGAAACAAACTTGTGTCAAGTAAACATAATGTACCTGATAACCACGTAGCCAGGGGCGGGCTCCGGTTCGAACCAGGTCGCAGTGCGTGCACGGCGCGGGGGATGCAACCCGTCCCGGTTCTGTGACTCATGGGTGGCTGGCGTGGTCTTGGCGGTCGTCCGGGTGCAGAATGAGGTCCCCCTCCAGGGAGTGGCTGCCACTGACATGTGTCCTTAATCCCACAGGACCCCGGAAGACCTTTCTAGGTTCATTGTTGACCTGCAGCAGCGAGAGGTGGCCTTGCAGGACCGGAACAACACCGTCACCAGCAGGTAGGCCTGGCGGCCCGGGTGTGTGCGGGATGCGTCTGCTTTGGAAAGGAGCCCAGAGCGTGTGTGTCCCCTGGGCGTGGCTCAGGAGCGGCTCCGCTTCACTGTCCCTGGGCCTCGGCCTGAGTGAGCGGGAGAGGTCCGTCTGGAGGGTGCAGGGTGCCCCAGTTTTCAGCCCCGTGACAGTGACTGCCAAGGTGGCATGGTGCGGTCGTCCCTGCCACGTGCCAGGCCACCTCTGCCTTCCTGGTGCTTGGGGGCCACGAGGAGGACATGGGCCTGGATTGGGGAACCCTGTCTTTGCTGTGGCGTGGGCTACCAGTGACCCCCTGATGGTGTGGAACCCAGCACCCAGGGGGCAGCGTGTGCATGTCCGTGTGCTCAGGAAGGTCCCCACAGAGGAACAGAGATCGGGAAGACCTCGCCTGGGCTGCACACTGAGGGAGGAGTCCCCTTCCCTGGCGGGAGGGCCCGGAGGCCAGCAGCCGTGTGCCTTCTTGCCCGCTCGGTGTTAGGTCTTTCCTCCCAACCCCGTGAGATCAGCGGTGCTCTGTCGTCTCGCTCATTCCTGACACGACCGCACAGGGGAAGCGCTTGGTCCCACAAGCTGCCCCCATTCCACACCTCGGTCGTGAAGTCCTGGCTCCCCAGGCTCCCTGTGCTTTGGCCCTGGTTGTCCCTCCACACCCCACACGCGTTTGCAGATTTGCTAGAATGACTCACAATTCAGGAAAATGCTTTATGTGCAATCACCGGTTTATGGCCAGGGTTGCAATCAGAGCAGCCAGATGGAGGAGATGCCTGGTGGGAGGGCTGGGGGTGAGAGCTTCCCTGTCCCCCCCAGGTGCACCCCCGCTCTCAGCACCTAGATGTGTTCCGCGACTTGGAAGCTGTCTGAGCCCTGCTCTGGGGGATTTTAGGGAGTTTCCATGGTTGATTAAGTTGTTAGCTGCTGGGGGAAGAGCGCAGGCTCCCCCCAGTCCCCCACACCCACGGGGGCGTTGACCTGGAGGTGGTTTATTGCTCTGGCCCTGCCTGCAGTTGCCTCTTTAGCTCAAAAGGACGGCGGTTGACAGGGGCTTGTTAGGAGTCACACATTGCCCCTCTCACCTCAGAAACCCCAGGGGTCTTAGGAGCCCGTTGCCAGGGAAGGGAACAGAGAGCAACTGCTTCTCCTTTAGGCTGCCCCTGGGCTCTCCCGGGTGGTCTGCCTCCTTTCTCCAGGGCCGAGTAGGTAGCTGACCAGGCTGTGGGCGACACATCCGCAGGCCAGAGCAGAGGCCTTTTTCTTGAGTCTCCTCTTTGGAACAAGGAAGCCTTTCCTGGGACCCCACTGCCGGCAGACCCCCGACCAGCCTCGTTGGCCAGGGGCAGCTCCAGGCAGGATGGGCTTGCCCTGAGGCTGCGGCCGGCCCACTTCCCGCTGGGCTCTCCTAGGGGCAGACAGCTGAGGGGCTCTGTGAGCAGCCGGCCTCTGCCTTCTGCGGACATCGTGTCTTAAGGATTCATTAGTAGCCAGAGGGAAGGATTTCTTATTTTGGGGCTTGATGTCACTTTGAAAATGGGCTTTTAGAAGCATCTGGTTATGTTGGACATAATCACATCAATTTAGCTCAAAAACCTCAGACGATAAAATTGTCTTTTGCTTTCAAAGCTACTGTCAGATGAAACGGGTATTAAAAGTGATTTGAAATTAAAGCTTTTACATTTTTCCAGACGATCTTCTTCACTTTACTTTGCATTTGAAGCAGAACGAACCGTTAGAGGGAAGGAAACTTGCCTTCGTTTTTCTCAGGCCAAACCGTGAGGGGGCGGGAGGCCGGCTTCTGTGTGCGGGGAGGCGGCGGCAAGAGCGGCTCCGTCCCCAGGGCCCCGGCAGCCCTCTGGCTAGCGCCTGTGCGCGGAGCCGACCTTCCCATCTCTGTTCTGGCAGCAGCAGTCCCCTGCGGTGGCACCCTGTCCCATCTCTCTGGACCCTTGGGGCCCCTCTGAGAGCGAGGGTGCGGCTCTGGCACCCCCGAGGGCGAGCTGTGTGCCGCAGCTCTTGTGCAGGAGGCGAAGTGCGCTGGCCCACATGCCTCCACTGGGGCGACTGGCCTTTCGCAGCGCGGCGTGGCCCCGGGGGAGGGGCCGGAGCCGTCACCCCGTCCTGCAGAGGAGAGCTTGGGTTCAGAGGGCCGGAGGGCTCAGGCGAGAAGGGAGACCAGGCAGCTCCTGCTGTGCTCACGTGGGACAGATGGCTGGGCAGCCCCTGAGGAGGTGGCAGGGACCCTGTGACGCGAGGCCCTTCCTGACCAGCACGGAGAGGGCTTGCGTGTCCGGCGTCCTTCACACTGGCCGGCTGTTGGGCAGCTGCGGGTCCCGTGGGCCGGAAAGTGATGTGGCCGTTAGCCATGGCCTTCTGTGTGGAGGGCCAGGAGCCGCCTTCATTCCTGCACATCTTCACAGGCGGGTGAGCAGGAATTGAGGGCAGCTGGGAAGAAGCAGTTGGCTAGAGGGCGAGCACGAGGGGTCCGGGCAGGCCCTGGCACAAGGAGGGCGCTCCCGCTCACACAGAGCAGGGAACCCAGCGCCCCGAAGCCGTGGCCCCAGGCGGGAGAGTAGGCCTCATGGGTTTGGTCTCCAGGCATTTCTTCTGGTCTGTCCCTTGCCGGGTCCTTCCGTGGTGGCCTCCGCTCAGGCACTCTAGCTCATTCAGGGAAGGATCTGTGCTGCGCCTCGCCTGGGGAAGGTGAGGGGAGAGCAGACTTGAGCTGTTGGCCGGCCGCCCCCTGGAGCGGAGCTGAGCGTCCCCACGCCTCGCTGCTGGTGCCCCTGGTTCCGCACTGCCATCCGCCCGAGTGGGATTTGTACCTTTCTAGATGTTTGTGCCCAGAAACTTCTGGAGGCTGCAAGGCCAGTGGTGGCGGGGGCTGTCAGGTGGGAACCTTCCGGAGCCTTCCAGGTAGCAGGGGGGTGGAGGTGTGTTCTTCTTTCAGAGGGCGGGGATGAACCTCCGTGTTAGCTTTGTGCACGTTTACCTGAGTTCCGAGCTCTGATTTCCCCCGGTCGGAGTGGGGCTCGTGTCTGTCATGAGGATCGTTCTGAGGGTGCAGCGAGATGTGATTCTGTGCCCCATGGTCGGTAGCGCCCCGGAGACGCTGGTGGCAGGAGGGGGTCTTTCCGAGAACCATCTGTGCTATGGGGCCAGGAGGCGGGCGCAGGTCTCTTTGGCAGCGCGGGGCGGCCGTGGGGCGTCCTTTCCCCCACGGGGGTGTTGGGAGCCCTCAGGCCAGGCTGCCTGCCTCGTCCCTTGCACGGTCGTGCTTGGACACTCCAGGGCCTCCTCGGCCGCTGCTGCGGCGGGTTTGGCAGCGTGTTCAGACGGGAGCTTGATTACAGCCAGGGACCTTTGTCTTTTGTCATTGTGGCCACGGATTCGGTTTTCGTTCTCGGAGCCTGGAGGCTGATACGCTTCCGCCCCCCAGATGCGTGCTGGGGATGTGGTGACTGTGGAGCATCTGGGTGCGTCCTCTGTCCCCGTGCGCCGCCTTGGTCCTCGCCGGGCCTCGGTGAGCGTTGCACGGTCCCCAGGGCCCAGCACTCCATCCGCATCCTGCTCGCTGCTCGCAGCCGGCTTCTGGAGCCAGGCCGTGGACGGGAAGCTGCACTCCTTCGAGGCGCGGACCCTGGCAGGTGGGCGTCTGTCAGACTGCGACGTGCTCTGAGGGCGTCTTGAACGAGAAGCAGGAGATGAGGGGCAGCACCTTGTGGGGCTGCGCCATCCGGGGTTGCTGTGCTTTGCCAGAAACGAGGCCTCACACTGGAGAGTGCGTGACAGAGCGGAGCCAGGCTCTGGGGTGCGGGTTCCCCTCCCGTACGCATGGCGACGGTGGCCGTGGCGGCAGGAATGTCTCCGTGCTCAGCGCCTCGCACACAGGGTCTCCTCCGAAAGCCCGCGGCGGGTGTGGCCATGTCTCCCGCGCGGCAGAGACGCCTGAGTCCCTGGGAGACAGCTGTGGCAGCGCCATGTGGCTTACCTGAGTGTGGAGCCCGCACCCCTGCCAAGTGCTTGACGTGGCTGCAGAGGGGCCGCTTCTCGCTCATTTCTCTGCTACGGTGGAGACGTGGCTCGTGGGCCCTCCGTGCGGCGCAGGGCTGGCCCGCCGTCCTTGGTGAGGACTTAAGGGAGAACCTGCCGTATCGGTGAGTGGGGAGAAAAGCAGGTCCGGGGGAGCTCTTGGCATCTCTGTCTGCCCCTGGCCCTCGAGAACCGGCCCCGCACCCGCTGCTCTGCACGCTGCTGCTGGTGGGCCCGTGGCTTCGGGCGGATGAGTCCCCGGGGCTCCGGGCTGCACCCAGAAGCGCATCCCAGCTTTGCTTCAGGCTGAAGCTCGCATTTGCCTCTTCTGGGTGAGAGTTTCCTCACAAGAGCCCTTGGTCTCCGGGGTCGGGGGTCACGAGCCCTGACATGCCTGAGGTCCCAGTCTGGCCGTGGACTGCCCGCGGGTCTTCCCTTGCTGCCGCTGTGGCGAGCGTCCTGGGCCGTGACTAGGGATGCCTGGGGCCCCTGGGCGGCCTTTGGAGGAGGCCGCTGCTTGGTGAAGGGGACTTGAATGAATGGTGGGAGGGCAGTCCTCGTCCATGCCGCCCATCCCCGTCTCCGAGAGGTGGTGCCCTTGGCTGTGCGTCTTCCCGGCAGCTGGCTGGTTGATGGGTTCTCTGTCATCCCCGAGGGGGAGTTAAGATCAGTGTACCGGTCATAAGTCTTCATGTGGCTCTTTTCCTGCTGTTTGTCCGCAGCATTTAGGCCATCCTCCCAAACCGTCTGGAGTATGATTAGGCCTTGTCACCTTTGTCACCGTGTCTGTGTGAGTTACGGTGCTCTCAAGCTGTCCTGAGGCCAGCAAGGCCAGTGATGGCCACAGAAGATTCATGATGACCGAGGACCTGTTCTCTGTGCATCGGGGTGGAGTTCACGCTGTGCTTGGAGCGCCGGCAGGTCTCTGGCTCTAGCTCAGGCT